GTGGCTTGTGCCCTAATACAGCCAGAAAGACCCTGAACAGTATCTACTCTGTTGGATTCACCATGACCATTGAGTTTTGTTTTTTTTAAGACCCCATCAGCAGCAGGGCATGGTGGCACATGCCTACAATCCCAGCACTTGGGAGACTGAGGCAAGAGGATTGCTATATGTTTGAGGCCAGCCTGGGCTACCTAGTGAGTTCAAGGCCAGTCTGAACTACAAAGTGAGCCCTTTTCTCAAAAAACAAACAAACAAACCAAAAGATCCCAGTAGGCATCAGCCATCTGCCACCTCAGCCAAGGAAAGAATTAGTGAGCCTTTCTTTCATGGAATTCCATTTACTGTTCTGGATCTGATGCTATAATCAATTTGGATGTTTGAGAGGTGGCCTTAGAGAAATGATAGCCCTGAGGGTATGGCCAAAAGGTCACCTGGCCAACTGTTTATAGCAGCTCACCACTCTGCCCACGCCCTAAACCTGTCTTTAGCACAGAGGCCTATGGGGACACCTATAGCTGTGAGTGCAAGATCAAAGGTGAGTGTCATTTATGCAATGGGTAGGGCTTGCTGCATGCCCAAGTAACCTACATGTTCCAGTCTTTTTGTTTGTTTGTTTTTTGCAGTACTAAGGATTGAACCTAGGGCCCTCACATTGTGTTACATCCCCAGCCCTTTTTTATTTTTAAATTAAATTTAATTTATTTATTGAGACAGGGCCTCACTTTGTAACTTGCAGCAATCCTCTTACCTCAGTCTCCCAAGTGCTGGGATTACAGATGTGCACCACCACGCCTAGTTTATTTTTTATTTTGAGACAAGGTCTCTTTAAATTGCTAAATTACCCAGGCTAGGCTCAAATTTGGAATCCTCCTGTTTCAGCCTCTCAGAATGCTGGGATTATAGATGTGTGTCACAATACTTGGTCTCCCCACCTCCAGGTAAAATACTTCCCTAGCATGCACAAAACCCTGTGTTCAATCCAGTACTAAAAGAAATCCAAACATAGTTTTTGGAGTTTGTTTTGGTTTGGTTTTGGAGATTAAACCCAGGGCCTTACACTGAGCTACATTCCCAACACTTTTTTATTTTTTATTTTGAGGGGCTCACTAAGTTGCTAAATTGCTTGAACTTGTGACCCTCCTGCCTCAGCCTCCCAGAGTGTGTTCCACTCTGCCCAGGTGTGTTCCAGAATTACAGGTGTGTTCCACAATGCCCAGTTTTTTGGGGTTTTTTGTTTTTTGTTTTTTTGGTACTGGGGATTGAACTCAGGTCCTTGAGCTTGCGCAGCAGGCAGCGAAACCACTGAGCTAAATCCCTGGCCCAACAATGCCCAGTTTGAAGAGTGATTTTTCACATGCTTGTTGGTACATGTCTTCTTTGGAGAAATGTTTTTTTTTTTTGGTACTGGGGATCGAACTAGGGACCTTGAGCTTGGGAGGCAGCACCGGAACCACTGAGCTAAATCTCTGGCCCTTGATTCAGATCCTTTGTCTATTTTTAAATTGGGTTATTTGTCTTCTTATTATTGAGTTTTAGGCCTTTTTTCCTGCATTTTTTTTTTAAATAAGTAGAAACCACATCACTTCATTTGTTGCTGCAAATAATAAGTGAGAGGCAATAACTCAAGAGGCCACAGAAAGCGTTTTCATCCACAAAAGAGCAGAAGGGATAAACATCTTCACCACATAAGTCTTTGGTTAATTTATTTTCTTCTGATCTCTGTTCTCTTACCTGCATCAGCCTGTGGCTTCTAGAATGGGGCTCTACCCTCACAATTATACTGACAGGACGGACGCTAGTCTAGAAGCTAGACTTAATGTTGTGGAAGTCCCTAAATTAGCTGAGGAACCTGGACAAGTCTTCTTTGATTTCAGGCCCATGAATGTCTTCCTTAAAAAGCTGCAAGCGATTGAGGTAGAAAGGACAGAGACAGGAAACAGAAACCAGCAGAAGGGAACGAGCACGGCTCCCTGGCACTGATGGGCAGTGGGCCTCCAAAGGTGAAAATGGGAAAGTAGTGTAACCCCACATAGCTTCGGGGAGGACAGGCCTTCAGTTCTCTGGTAACATGAACCAGAGAACAAGCAAAAATCTGGATGGCAAACGTCCCTGTGATGAAGCCACTCAGGGACCGGGGAAGACGTGAGGCCAGGCAGGCAGAAGCAAAGATGGCAGTGTTCAAGGGGAGCCTGCCAGGTATGAGGGCAGCATTGGCACCACAGTCAAAGATGAGGGAGCCCAACCACATAAAGACTGACATGGTGTAGATGATGTTGGTGCTGATGGATTTTGTCAAGGTCTTTAGCTCTGGTGAAAAACCATAAGTGAAGGTAATGAGGTCAAGGACCCCCTTCAGGTAAGCCCACCAGATACAGCCATCTTCTGCCACCTTCACCTCCATCAGTGAGATGGAATAAGAAATACCCAACAATGACTATGCCAGGCCAGAAGACCCTTATGCGCACACACACTGCCAGTTAGCCACAAAAACACTGACAAGGTCATGAAGATTTGCTCCTATGCTTTCTTATAAGACTTCTGCCATTTTATCTCTTAGGTGCATTTTTAGTTTTTTGTTTTTTTATGTGACTTTTTTTTTTTTGGTACCGGGGATCGAACTCGGGTCCTTGAGCTTGAGCAGCAGGGGGCGAAACCACTGAGCTAAATCCCTGGCCCCTATGTGATGTTGATATAGTGGGAATAATATAACTCTCAACCTGCTAGATGTCAGATACACCGAGTTCATGTTCCCCAAAATCGAAGAATGAATTCTAAGGAACAATGGAGGTTGAGAGTAGGAAAAATTTATTGAGAGAAAGAGATAGCTCCTGAGAGACAGGAGGAGATCCAAAAGTAGGTTACCATGGAGTCCACTTCACAGAGGAAGTTTTATAGACCAAATCACAAGGTGGATACAAAATCATGCAGTGAGTACAACTCACGTCAAAACTATGATCAATCAATGAGATTACAAGCATAAACCAGACATGGCGGCACACACCTGTGATCCTAGCACTCAGGAGGCTGAGGCAGGAGGATCACTGCAAGTTTGAGGCCAGCCTTGGCTACATAGTGAATTCAAAGCCAGAACTACATAGTGAGACCCTGTCTCAAAAAATATATATATAA